CTCGCGTCCCATGATCCCAAAACGAAAAGAAGAAAATGAATTCTCGCACTAATCATCAAGAACTCGTCTCCCCATTGCTTTTCAACGGGCAAAGGATGAAATGAACAAGCAGAAAGCAAATGGGTCCTCGACATATCCGTAGACATTCATGCTTCCCGAGCGATGGGTCCAAGAATATACCTCCTGTTCTTGATCTCGGACAGAGACTTTCAGTCAGAGAAAAGAGCGGACCCGCTTAGCGAAATCGCCGATACTGCTTCAGTTACTTCCTACTTCTGAATCGCCCTTTCAGGATCGAAAGTGGCACTGTGACTCAGGATTCGGAGTTGGGGTTCGAGTCCGTGCCTCATGAGGCTGCAGAATCGTAACGTTGCGTTTGACATTTTTTGAATTCAAATCTGTGGGGACATCATCGTCATCTCTCTCGCTGGCACGTGCGCTGCACGGTCACTTCGACCCATCGAGATCGTGGCCGTCGAGTTCGGCGCAGGCGGACGGCTGCGATTCCCTTCGAGGGGACGTCTTGAGTTGGGCCTGGGGCTTGGGATGCGCAATTTGGGCTTTGGGCCCGAAAAATGCGGGGAACGAGCGGTGGGCCTTTGCTTTTAGTACGATGATGTTCGGCTTTAATTAATTTAATATCGAACATCTAAATGGTCAAAGGTGCACAAATCCTAGTACATGGTTTTTTTTTTTTTAATAAATCTTGTTTAGATTAAACATTTGCTCATCGGACTTAAATTCTCCTCTTCGATCCGTCATAGGCAGGTCAACTACATCGGAACGAGGGGATTCCCAAGGAATTATTTCCTTATCGTCAAGTAGTTCTGTCGAGAAGGAATCGAATGCGGAGCGGTCGTTTTGATTATCAGTGGATCGACTACTAATAAGGAAAGTTATGAGCAGTTTTTAGAAGGGCAGAATCTGTGCTGAGTAGACCCTTCGCTGCACTCAGTGTGTGTATTGAACTGCGTTGGGAAAAAAGATTAAATATTTCGAATCTCAAGTGAATCAAATGCTCGAGCTTCTCAAAATCTCAAACTCGAGAAGAATGGTGTTGAGTTCAATTAATTCATGAGATGATCAATAAATAGCTTGACATATTTATACCTCTGATTTTCCGCACAATAAAAGCAAACTGAAAATAATTTCCAACCTTCAATTTTTTTTCCCGATAATTCCAACAAAGCTCGTACTTGTTACGAGATGAATAATATATGGATATAGATGTGGGAGTAGATGCTCAATAAATCGAACGGTTCTAATTATGATACAGTCCTTTCTTACTTATATGCTGTTTCTTTTATATTACCGACAAAGGATTGGCAGAATCAACTTGATGACACGAATAAGCTAAAGATCCGAAGTTACGGTGACTCATTACTCCAAGAAATCTCTTGCGGATTCTATATTATGATCGATTTCGTCTTAATATTAATAATATAGCAAGTTGATTAATTGATTCAGTTAGCTATATACGTGCCACAACTTCTTGGATCACGGTCATCTCAAGTGCTTGATCTGGGAGAGCTATTTGTGGCACTTTCGTTGTAGCAGCTTGAAAAAATCTAGATTGCATAATGAAACAACTCTAGGTTGTACAAAGAGTGGTTCGGCGAAATTCACTCACGAACCGACACAACTAAACTCTTGTGTCGGATGCTCAACATGTCTTGGCCCGTCAAGTTAGTTTGCCATCATATCGCCTGAGATTAACCTACTCAAAGAGGGTTTTCTCGTTATAAAAAAAGAAGACTAAAAACTCATCGATTTTAAATTCCCACTTGATATTTGTTACTCGTGAACTATGTTTGTTAATGAATCCTTTATGCCCTTTACATTGCGGAACGGAAGGTACACCATTATTAGTGCAGTTGCTTCTTTAAGTAGTTAGAGCTTGTCAAGGTCTCCCACTTATGTCCTATGCCTCTAAATGGTCCACCCAAGCACAAGTGCAATCTAACCTCATCTTTTAAAAAACAAAGCTAATCTATAGAGACACCACCACTACTACTTCTTGGATACGAATTTAGTTGATTAATTAGTCCCGTGAAAATTATCTCAAGAGATTGACTGAGTGGTTAAGCGCTTGATTTGAATCCAACAGGTCCCGTTATTAAGTTTCAACGCTACCCACTTATATTGACTTTAGGTTGCACTAAGTTTAACTTTAGGGATTCTCTATAGTAACTATGCTTAATCTGCTTCATGAATTGTTGGGTTTTATAAGTAACTAGCTCATTGCTTTTCATGTATTTGACAATCATTCCAATTTTGTTCCAACTACAGTTAAATGGCAGGAACTCGTGACGACGAATTTGCGCCCTTTTCCTCTCGTACTACACCTTACTCCATGTCGAATAACAAATCACGTTGTCATAATACTAAGTGTTTCAAATCTCAATTCGGATAATCTTTGATGACACGATTTCTCAAATTTGGCACAGACATCGTAGGGCCAGTATCACTGTTACCTTAATTATCAATCATCAATTTGATCTGGAGACCTATAGATAACATAGATAGATTTTGTTTTTCCATAGACCAAATCATATCATATGGCCTCCTAAGACATTAAGGAACGAGACGGGTTCGTCCACCCTTTTAAAAAACTGATCAAAGCTCTTGAAATCAATCAATCAATCCAAACGAAAATGATTGATTTCCCTACTGTTCATGACACAGCTTCGATGCTGAATCACGTACAAATGAAGACGATGGCATGCATGAAAAGGACAACTTCACGTCCTCTTCTGACCATGCTCTTGCCCGCGTGGCACGACCCTGAGGGTTTTAATTCGAGCCCTCGCAAATTTTGTTAGGCCACCAATCCGATTGGTCATGAGGCATTTGATACTCCTTTGTTTGGAACCGTCCAAAAATTAAAAAAAGAGAAGAAAATCAGATTAATCTATCGTTTATCGCATCTCCACATTGGACCTACGTTAATGATAACGACCGGTTATCATAATTTGTTAGGGTTTATTATTATTAATAAGGTCGACCTTGTTTCTTTCGAAAAGGGACGTGTACCAAGTACAAACTATGGTCCTCTTCAGCCATATATAATCCATTTTCGCATTGACCTATGTTCCCATATACTTCGTCACTCGAACAATACATAGTTCACGCAACTCCATTAACATTTCCTTAGACTATATCATGAAATTAAGCATGATTAAGGCTATGGTCGAACAAATTTGTGTTTCTTTTTTTCTTTCTTCTTTTGGGTTCTTAAGTGGAATGTTAACGAGGACCCAGCAAGCAAAACGCGCATAAGAATTAGCAAACTTGGGATGCTAAATTAATTGGACAACTATATTTATATGTGTGTGTGTGTGTATGAATGGCATAAAGGTGACATGATGAGGCGTTCTACAAGATGGGAAAGAAAAGGTCATTCCATTTGGTAAAAGGTGCCAATGCCCCCCCACCCTTTAAAAAAAACCCTAAAATTGCCCATTGATGTCCTGGTAATGAAGGCAACAAAACTTATTTTACAACTATAAGATGGGAAAGAAAAGGTCGTTCCATTTGGTAAAAGGTGCCAATGCCCCTCCACCCATAAAAGAAACCCTAAAATTGCCCATTGATGTCCCGGTAACGAAGGCAACAAAGCTTATTTACAACTGTTCTTGCAGAGAGAGAGGGAGAGAGAGAGAGAGAGAGAGAGAGAGAGAGAGAAAGCCGAAGTTCAACACCACTTCAAAGGGGGAAAGTTACATGTATTGATGAGCGTGGGAACAATGATATGCATAGTTTATGCTTTACGTCTTCATCATGTTCCTACCACTTCCGAGGGCCGTTGGGCATATTTGGGCATATTTGTGTGGTGATTCTAATCCCGACGGTCAACATGATACGCCCACAAAAATAATGTTATGTGCCTCCAAGAGAAGACAAATCTCAAGATATATTGCGACGTTTATGTGATTCGAGGAAGAACGATAGACAAAAATCAGCAATCAAAATCACAGCCGTTGTGTTGGCCTGAATTCGAATAGGCCGGTTTTATTGCTCGATGAAATTGATGGCAAAGATTAAGAATTTGATGTATGGTGGGCACATGAGGACATAATATCGTGTGCTTCCCTTTCTTTATATATGTGGTATCCAAAATTTCTGACTCAGATTAATTTTTATAAATGTACACAGACGGTCTCGTTCACGTATATCCAATAAGGCTCAATCCTCAAGTGGCGAGGGTGATTCCCATAATTACTCTGCGTGGAAGACGTTCTGTTTTAAAATTAGGGTTTGTTGTATATGAATTGAGCGATTACCTATTCCGCCGAGTGTTTTGGGGATCATCTTTTCTTTTCAATATTTCCATCTTAGTTTGGATATATTTGGGCAAGGGCTGGCCCTCGCTTGTGTTTCATCTTAGTAAACTTCTCATAATTGTTAAATAATTTTCTATCAAATAATTGTTGAGTTATACTGTTAATTCATCTTTGGTAGCTTCTCGTCCGGTATGCTCTTTGATCGGGCCATCGAATTGCCCAAACTCATGATCCGGTCTGATTACGACTTTCGTTTCAGTCATTTGAGTATATCCCACACGCGGGCGCACGACGCGCGCCCATAGCCACAGGAGGAGGGCCAGAATGGGAAAACGATGAAAGAGAAAAATCAATTCAAGAATGTGACGTCACTTGTTGATGTTTGAAAGGTTAGATTTAGATTTAGAGGTTCTCCATTCAACAGCAATATTTACATTGGGCCAATCTGCTCCTGAAGGGGGAGAAGCACACAGAACCCTATTGACTTTGCATGTACATATGCAGTAGAACTCATCAACCATGGTAAACATTTATTCTTTTGGGTATATGTTGTATAACAATTGGCGGAGATAAAAAAACAAAAGAAAGAAAGAAAGAAATGGTAGAGAGAAAAATGGATGAGCATGCACAAGCAAATGATGATAATCATAATAAAACACACGAACCCACAAAGCCTCCAGAGTCTCCCCTTATATATATATTTCCCCACCTCCCCCCCCCCCAACACCATCATCATCTTTGTCCCCCTTCCCTCCCCAATATTCCTCTTCTAAGTCTTCTTCTTCTCTCTCTCTGTACGAAGCTACAGAGCAACACCAGAACAAAAGCTTTCTCCACTTTCTCTCCCATTTCGTCAAATTGTCCTTTCATCTCTCTCTCTCTCTCTCTCTCTGTCGCACGCACTATGAGATCACAAGAACTCGCTCTCCAGAGAAGCACCACCAGCAGCGGCAGCTACAGAAGCGCCAGAAGAATCACTCCTTCCTCGAGCTTCCCTCGACCATGCACCCCGTCATCGCCGACACCGCCGCCTTCTCGATCCCACCATGAAGATATGGCCGCCTCTGCCCCCTCCGACAACAAGCTCCTCCTCCGCAAATCCTCCTCCAGGTCATCGGCAGCAACAACCCATCATCGCTACATTAAAATCTCCTCCCTCCTCCGCTCCTTCCTCAGCCTCATCTCCTCCTTCCAGCTCCAAAGCCTCATCCCCGCCCCTGCCGCCGCCTGCCGCTTCCTCTCCCTCCCCCGCCATCTCTCCCTCTCCTCCTCCTCCTCCTCTTCCACCTCCCTCGGCCGCAAAGTCACTGGCACCCTCTTCGGCCAGCGACGCGGCCACGTGTCCTTTGCGGTCCAGGACGGCCCCCAGTCCGACCCCGTCCTCCTCCTCGAGCTCGCCATCTCCACCTCCGCCCTCGTCAAGGAGATGTCCTCTGGTCTTGTCCGCATCGCCCTCGAGTGCGAGAAGACCGCCTCCACGGCCGCCGACCGCCCGCCGAGGTTGTTCCAGGAACCAGCCTGGACCATGTACTGCAACGGGCGCAAGTGCGGGTACGCCGCGTCCCGCACGTGCACGGAGTCCGACCTGCACGTGCTGAGGACGGTGCGGACCATGTCGGTCGGGGCCGGCGTGATCCCAGTGCTGGCGGACGACGGCCAGAAGGCCAGCGGCGGCGGGGACGGGGAACTGCTGTACATGAGGGCCAGGTTCGAGCGCGTTGTCGGGAGCCGCGACTCGGAGGCGTTCTACATGTTGAACCCGGACGGCAACGGGGGACCCGAGCTCAGCATCTTCCTATTGAGACTATGAAAGAGACAAGAGAGAGAAAGCGACGTGAAGTGAACTCAGTCTCCAATCTCTCCGGTAAAGAGGGCTAATGGAATGATCAAAGCCGCCGTCAGCTGTCCGCCGAGCTGAAGTTCTCATCGTCAATTAGTCATTTTTCAAAGTGGTGGTGTGGGAAGAAGAAGAAAGATGGTCAGTGATACATTATACATATCATGGTGTAATTCAATATTAATATGTAGTAGTTACTTAGCGCGCATGACCTCAACCCCATGCGATTTCTTTTGTTTTTCTATTTGCATCCGACGACGACGATGATGTTTTTAGACGTATGTGCGTGTATGTACACTTCGTTTTTTTTTTTTTTTTTGTTTTCACCTTTCTCTACACATGCATGCAGGAAAAAGAAAAGAAAAAAAAGTTTTAATTTCATTTCTCGGTGAGCTGTTATTTTCCATTAATTAATTAGTTTGATTGACTAAGGTGGGTTTCCATTGCAAGAGAAGTCTTTATCAGCGTGTTGATCATCCTCGCCTTCCCCTATCATCATCGCTCTCTATAGTTTAATTCTTTGCGCGCATGCTGCCGCTCTTTTCATAGAAGAAACATAGACTTTTATAAATCAATAAAAAGAAAAAGAATTGAAGAAATAGAGGATTGAGCATGCTCTAAGTCAAGTATATTTATATAATCCGCAGAATTTGACCTCTACTGCCAATTTTCTGCTTACACAATCAACCTATAATGCTTTTGTTTATAACTTTTTTCGCGTACACACATATGTACACAAAGACAAAATCGGTGTATAAGATGAATAACTTTTTTTTGTTGTTGTTTAGTAAATGTAAAGTTGAAGTCTTAGGGATTTTAATGTTGTTGTCATCACATCGTTATACTTAGGAACTATAGTCATAAAACTCAAATCTCCTACGTGTCTTCCTTTCCTATTTCTATTAGACACGAAAAGAATGGAAGTTATAAAAATAGACTTAGCAACATATTGAAGGTGCATATTCTTCTTATAAATTATCAACGTGTGGATAGTCTATTCCCAAAGTTACTCTCTTTTGGAAATTTCACAGCGCTTACATAATGCGCGCTGTGGAATTTTTAGCAAGATTGTGATAGCCGGAAATTCATGATTTTAATTAGTCGATCGAAGATCAATGTCCAATTAATTATTAAATACGACTTAGCCTAGATTTTGGTTCTAATGTCTGCAACGCCATCATGTTCATGTTCAGTGGATTTTGAACTGCCACATTCGATATTCAAGGAAAAATAAGGGTTAGATGACACATAAAGTTCTCCTTCAAAAGAAAATATATATCGACGATAATAGATTTGAACGTACAGTATCAATTCGCATAATAGGTTTTTATATGCAAGAATTACACCTCTTAAATGATACGACATAATCGATCGAGAGAGAGACCACTTTCCCTTCCTCGTGGAATCATGATTTGAGAAGATATATTTTTTTATAAAAGTACAAAGAAAAGGAAAAAACCACTCGATGAAGGAGGAGAAAATGGGAGCGTTTTATCTTGAGGAAGTGGGGGAGGCACCGATCGGGTGGGCGCGCCCCCACCGTCCGGATGAAATGACACTCGTTGAAAAAGAGAGGGTGGGCCCCACTAAGTTCCTTAAACTTTATGCTCTAAAACAAAGAGGAGCATCTTACCCTATGACTATACTATAGGGTGAAAAATACTTTTTGGACACATCATTGTTCACTCCCGTTATTTGTGGAGAAAGCGTTGAACCCATCGTCCACCCCCTTGATATCTTCCCAATCTTTCCACACTTAAGGAAAACAAGCGACAGCTTATAATATAATTAATTACTTTCGGGTATCGTAATAGGGTGAGCATGATTTCAGAGTAGAATCTGAAAGTGGACCGGTAGGAACAAGGGTATGCAGTATAGGTATCGGATTTCAAAAATTGAAGGACTTGTTTCGACGGGTAGTTTCTAGATAAGTGAAACATGGAACAAATTTCTGTGTTTTTCTTGATCTATGTCTTCGCATGCTCCTGCAGTATTCTATGACGTCTGATGATAAGTGTATAATCTGGAACCATTGATCTGAACTTCTAATTTATGATTGAGACTTTTACTTTGTTAATGTTTCGTATTCTTCGTGTGTCTAAAAAAAAAGCATGATCAGTGGATTGTAATAGTAAGTGGTGATCATTAAAAATCAATTAATTATACAGGTGGAACCTAGGTAAACTCTAGAATCGACCTTGAAACCCGTGACAGGGTAACTTCCAGGTTCCAAAGTATATAGGATAGGTTCGAGGTTCAAAAAAATGAAGAACCTGTTTCAATAGATAAGTTTCAAGTTCCAAGTTCCACCTAAAACTGCTCACCCATATAGCTTATCGTCTACAAAAAGGAGTCGAAATGGTTTGCTACCATATCAATTAGGCTAAAGCAAGAACAATTCACAAATGCGTCCTCAATTTGACTCCCGAAATTCCTTAGATCTCTTCTAGTTTCATAGCCTTGGAAAGTTTTTGTAGGAACTTTTCAATACCTTCTAACTTAAAAGCTAAATGACGATGCTTCTGATTACGAAGTATGAGATGATTAAGTAACCAATTGTTTCGGACTTGAGAAATAGCATGTAACAATGTCTCTGTCATTTGAATCAACAACGACACCCTCGAGCACTATGAAATAGCTAGACCTGCACTTGAGAGATTGCCAAATCATTTGTGATGGGATCAAAAAATTCGGAGAAACCTTGGAATTAAAGATGCGCGAGCTCTCTTAGTCATTACAATGCAAACACCATAAGGTGGGATCTAGGCGGTCCGGAAAGCCACCACGTTGAGATGAAATATTACCAATGTATATCTTTTTGATCAATTTCGGATACTATTGTACAAACATTAGACTCGGGCTCGAGCAATGAGCATATTTGAAGTTACTCATTTTGCATGTGAGTTGCTCTTATGGAACCAAGGTCGAGTTCCATCTATAATTAACTTCATAGTGAAAGACTGTATGGCCGTGCCTAAGGGCATATCAGTCACCATCTACGGTGTGGCACTCCACTAGTTCGCATGTCTTTAGGATAAATCAATGCAATGCAATTGGTTGTTTCCGACTTGAGAAATAGCATATTTTTTGTGCCTATGGGAATATTTTATTTACTATTAGATGTAATTTTGGTAATGTTAAGTATCCATTGAAAGTTTGCATCTATTGACTCTTATAAGAGACATTGTGAATCTTGTGATTATAATCGTAAAAAGTCAAGAGTTATTGTCATGCTTAAAGATTATTAAGCGAGTCAGAAATCTTTTACTATTTATGTTATAAATAAACATCTTTCTATATTCAAAAAAGATACATCTTTGTCACATAATAGATCTTAATCATACAAAAGAGAATTCTCCATCGTACATTCACTAACTAAAATTACCCACTAATCAATATGATATATTCATTAAATAATTTGTCTACTCACCATCCACACATTTGGCTCCCCAATTTACTTGGTCTAGATTCGTTCTTGACCGGGATCTAACAAAAGCAAGAAAGAAAAAAAAATAAAACATGGATAGAAGTGGCAGCAATCCTCCACATTGGCTAGATCCATAAACAACGATATCATATAGAGTAAGTCTCGCCTGGACTTATTCTATTAGATCAAAGTGATCATACGTCGTAAAATTTGGAGCAACCGCTTTCTTTTTGCTCTTAAAACACATGCATATGGAGATTAAATTACATGTTGAAGGTTGTATCATGACATAAATTCCTTGCAAGAATATATTTATCGATTGAAGATCACAGCACGTCACCTAGAGATCCGGCAGGATACTCGTATAGATATCGCTCTCTCTATCTCTTTCTGAATGAATCCGAGTGCAAAGCAAGATAAAAAAACAAGTTGATGTGGCTCAGTTCACACCAAGGAACAAACAGTCGACGACAAGATGTGCTATTCATATATGCAACCCAAGATCACATATAGAAAGGAGAGAAGATCGAGGGGCATATCTACACAGATCTCGCATGCAAGGACATGGGTGTGTCACCCATGTGGACGTGCACATAAAACATCAAAACAGCTAAGCGAAGAATTAGGGACAAGATCCAAGGATGCGAGAGTCATCTCACTGACATAAAAGGATCAGAGAGACAAATTGGAGAAGAAAAGGTAGAATGTGAAGCAGTGCTGAATTTGAGAATTTAAATAAGGGAAACGAAATAGCAAAAATAAAAATAAAGTTTGTGATACTCTAGTTGGGTCGACCCGACATGTGAAACTTTATGTCGAATCTCCAGGATTGTAGTGTATATTTCCCAAAACTTACACTTGGCGTTGAGCAATTGAAGAGACCATAGAGCCGGCTAGCCCCTCGGTATGTCGATGACGAGGACTTCCTTTTTACCAAGATCACATGCATTTTTAAAATCAATATTTTCAGGCACTATCGTTTCTAGGATGTGATCGACTTTTCTGACCAAAAAAAAAACTCATCACTGTCCGTAAATGTTTGCCAGTGCCACACATGGTGCATGAAAATAATGGAAGGGCACAAACTAGGACAAGAGGATATGAAGTATCTTTGTGGGGGAACAAAGATGAGAACAAAAGTCAAAGGTTTTGAGAATATGGTTGACTATCATGAAAAGAAAAGGGTCATTACAGGAAGAGAGGCACATGGGCAATAAAATCTCGGAGGATATGGAGATTTGCTGAAATGCTCTTGTTTTAGTGTCGACAATTGGACAGAAAAGTCCAACTTGTGCCAACAGATGAGAGGATAGATGTGACCAAGAAGGGAAATTAAGTTAGACAAACCTACTGAATTAAAAGTACTTGAGCTCGATTTATCGAAATATCTAACTTTTATTTTTTGGTCGAAAGCATTGAACTTGAGGGTTCTTAATCAAGTTCCAGTAGCTCGACCGCAAAAGGGAGTCAGAATTTGAGCTTTTCAATACTAGATTTGAGTGATTCGCACGCAAAGCCGCATCGAGTGCTACTGCTACATTGCACGTCATTGATCCCAATTTTCACATCACATTTTGAGCACAGGTATAGAATATTATATTTCAATCCGAGACACGCTTCTTCCTGATTGTTTTCTGCGATAGATTACTAACTAATGTGCCAACACAAATAACACGTCGTTTTAATTTTCTTGCACTTCTAGAACCGTACCTATAGCCTAAATAACTCGTATCGAATCAAGTTCAGTACGAAAATATTGACATCGCACCAACATCACGCATGTTGAACTCGTGTCTAAGATTTTGACCTTTTTTGAGCTGAGTAATGTTTGAGAATTGAACTTATTGACTATAATCGGCTCGATTTTTCCAAATAGCCAGCTAAATCAAGGTAAAACAGACGATAAACTTTCAAAAAGTTTGGATCAACTTTAAATTGACATTAATAAAACCTGACTGAGTTGCCATTCTGCTAAAGGTGTTATCACTTTGCGTCTCGAGAAGTGGAGGTTGGATTTGCACAGGCCGAAGGACTGACCCGAAGAGTTTGCTAGCTTCATTTGTTTACCAAGGATCAATCACAGAACGACTCTCCCTTACGACAAAGCATCCCGTATACAGTATAACAGATATATGATATGTCATCAGTCCTAATCTCGACATATACAATCGAAAGAAATAATCCACGATATCCATGCAACATTTGAACCAAAATTTGAGTTAACCATGCATGTATGGAGGGTGCAACAAGAATGATTCGAGAAGATTCCACTTCTCCCTCTATAAATCTATCAAAACTTACATGAGATTTTCAATGATTCAATCAAATGTTAAATCCTCTATATTGCTTTTTTGGAACTCGGTAGAGATAATCCATTGGGATTAACAAATAGAAAGATCTCATCGAGCAATAGAATGGGCATTATTCGACCGGCTAGCTTGGATGGAACAAAACTGAATAGGCAGACATTGGCAGCAACTAAACAAGTACGGGAAATGTTCTCATTTGTTTGCCTCAATAAATTCTCTGTACTCTTGCTTCATTTTGACTCCTGAGATCATCCTGTATGACCAGCATAGAATAATTTTGCACCAGCAATCAGAGCTAGCTCAATGACGGAGACAGTGAATTTGCCAAATGGCTATTCCTGAATAGAAAGAACTCTCTGGATGGGGACGAGATAGTCAAAAGTGATCGAAGATGTCATAGAATTGCCTAAATACAGCAAACAAGACAGGAGTACTTTGTTTGATCTTGAACCAAAATATAAATATATTTCCCAAACATGCAGAATAAGCAAGTAACTAGCTCAGTTATAATAGCGATATGAAGCCCAGATGCAGAGGCAAATAAAGAAGTTCGGAATGAGAGAAAATAATAATCTAACCTGATCATCTCCTTATTCTTGAAAAACTGCACGCACGGTGTGCCCATAATTGCTGCTGCTTCTGCTATTTCTTGATCTTCTTCGATATCAATTTCAACAAAATGTACATTTTCATCAAATTCATCTATCACCTGCTAGAGGGAAATAGATAAAGCAACATAGTTAGCCAAACAGGTGATCACAATCAGAAATTTGCAAAATAAATAAGACCCATTAAATGCAGAGACAAACAATCAATATATGCTCATTATAACAGCTAGAAATCTCGTGTGCATCCCCACAGGAATAGCGTGTCACTAGCACAGCACCCAATTTTACTACTCAGCACCTAGAGTGAGATTAAAGCAATTGTTGAAAATGACCCAAAACGAAGCTATTCATACCACACTCAAACCTTAGGATGGTCATCTATAAATCAGCCATCGCCTGAAAGCGCATTCTGATTTCTCTGAGCTACTAGATCTTTGTAGTTCACAATTCATCAACAACTTTTATTCCTCAGAAAGAAATTAGAAGTCTCATGCAGAGTCGCCATCTCCAAAAGTATAATTCCAAATTTGATGCGCAGAAGCCAGAGGAAGAGGAAAGCAAACTGTGCAGGCATAATACATTTATGAAATGCCATGGAATTTGAATTGAAGGGAGCACCATAAAGTACCTTGCCAAGAATAGGCTTCAAAGTTCGGCAGGGACCACATGTTGGTGCTGTATATAGTACACATACAAGCCGAGGGCTTTCATGGTACAACTTCCGTAGAGCATACTGAATTAGGGAAAACAAAAATACAAGTTAAGGAAAAACTAAAGGCCTGAACTTTAAATTTTCCAACAGGGAAATATTAATCATCACGTGCTAATTTTCGTATCTGCACAAAAGCACACCTGCCCCCGGTGCTTGGTCCGTGTGATATCAAAACCCTCTTGCACATCTCTATCTGTAATTTCTTTCTTAACTTCTTCAGTATGAGGCTGCCAAAAAGTTTACATCAAGAGGACGTCATCAATTTCGGATAATTAAAAGTTCCCCCTTCATTGATGGGTCCAGAACAGCAAAGAATTCCAACACAGCTCAAAGAAGCAAACTAGATATCACAACGAAGTGGTTCAGACCAGCTAACAGTGTGGCTTATGAAAATCTAAAAGACCAATCAGAAGATAATTTAGCTGACCAAGATACCGAGAGCACATCTAGGCCATTGAAGATGTACAATATACACATATAGAGCAACTAATAGCAAATCTAAGCTACAGGAAATGCGTCAAACAACCGTGTAACATCTTAAATGCACATATAAAAGACAAGGCAAGCGCAAATATTCATTAGCTATAGACTTTCCTTCTCTCGTTATGCCAAAATTCTGAAGAAAAAATGAGCATAAGTATTACCGTAGTTTGTAGCTTTCTCAATAGAGCCATATTGAACATGGCAGACTAGTTTGATAAATTTCTCAAAAAGAAAATAGTGGAACTGCAACGAAATTTCTTCCAAAGTTCAAATACCTGATGAAACTCCACAAGCAGATTATTGCTTGCAAGATATCTTTCCACCGACAAAGCAGCGATACATCCTGATCCAGCAGCAGTTACGGCTTGCCTCCATTCATGGTCCTGTTTAATAGGCACGGATTAACAATTATTAGGAATCTAGAAGATCATATGATTATTTTGCAAAGATACTACCACATTATGAGTGTAACAAGAGAATGTGATTTATTCAGATATTGCGCTCACAACATTTTAGGAACTCTGGGGCATAGCTACAGGCAACGCTTGTGAATTTATGATGATGCCAGTAAATGCACCAAACCCCTGAACTCGAATGAGTGGGCCAATTGAATCACGATAATGTACAGAGCCCAATCATAATAACCTAGGGACTGACTGATTACAAACCATGTTCTAAAATATATTACGCTAGAATAGCCTCACTATTGGATCTTGATTAACATAATCGCTGGGCCTGGCATGCTAAATCATATCATATTCTAATGGCCAAAGTTCAATCAAGCAAATACATAATTCGTCAGAACGAAATATCAGTTTTCTGTCATAAGCATTGAACATACGGTGGTGACATATTAAATAAAGCATTGGCTTAAATTTAATTATTCTAACACTCCCCCTCACGCTTAGTCTAGTCTTTTTGCCTAGTACTAAGCATGGACAGATTTAATTGAGGAGGTAAATGGGACCTAGAAAGATTTGAACTCAAGACCTCTCGCTCTGATACCATGTGAGATTTTGTGAGACTACTGCCAACTGTTCTAAAAGCTTAAGCTGTTACATAAAGACGTGGTTTGATATTTAATTATTCTAACATCAATCATTCCACATTCTTGAAAAAAAAATGCACTTAACCGTCCCTAATAAGCTCATCAATTAGCAAATAAAAAGACACGTTAACTAAAGAGCTCTGATATACATTCTGTGCTTTATCAGTCTATGTGCAAGCTGAACTGGATTGCTGGACCCCAAAGAAAAGGTGGACAGATAGGGTCCACAGAAGTAAGAATGCTCCTATGGTTAAGAAAGCAGCAGAGTAGGAGCAGAGCAAGTAAGAAGGCTTGACATGTTAATTGACAAGCCTCGAAAGACTCTAAAGTAGAAAAATGCTGAAGCACAAATAAATCTCGACTTCATTACCTGTACATCTCCAGCAGCAAATACACCTTGTACGGAAGTCCTTGCAGAACCCTCCTCGACCAACACGTAACCCGTATGATCAAGTTCAACCTGCCCTTCCAACAACTGACTGTTTGGAGAATGGCCTATACCATAGAATAAACCCTTTGCCTCGAGCACAGACTCTTCCCCCGTGTCAACTCTTTTAAGTAGAAGGCCAGACATTTGACCTTTTGAATTGCTCTCAACATCGGCAACCTCCGTGTTGAAGTGCACGGTGATATTTGGATTATTGTACACTCTGAAACATTCGCGATAATCAACCTGTTAAACAAACATTCAGGAAGTTGAAAACTCAACATACGGATGGTTCATTAGTACGGTAAACTTCCCAACACTAATGCAGCAAATCTAAGGAGAAGATTGCCCAAAAACGTTTGCAGTACCTTCCGGATATGGTATCTAGGTGATTTGCTTAATATTCTAAGAGTCTATGACATGATATGCTAAGTTGTGTTATGGTGACCAGAATTTTCTTTAGCAGAATGTAAGTCGATGCCACAAATTAACAATAACTTTGCATAAGCAGACAACTATTCCTAGAAACATATTGTACACTTAAACAAGTGATCGAGATCCTTACAAGTAATTGCGTATCAAAATGTACATTTTATATAGTAAGGAAAGTGGTGTATTCTCTCATACTTTTGCAGGTCAAGAAGTAAGATGTTAGTTAATTTTCTCAGTATATAGAACTGTGGTCTGTACCCATTTAAAAAGCTCAGTTGAACACCTGCAGCTGATATCTACAATCTATTAAAATAGATGAAAGGAGGGTTTTGGGGTGGACATGTGTCACCCACTCAAGCCCTCCTTTCATTTTTTTCTTCATTACATATTCACAATTCACCTAGTCCTTTCTTTTGGTTTATTTTTTAATTGGAATAACAATTTAAATACTTTTATCAACAAAATTGCAAGTTACACTTATATACGGTTCATATCTATATATAGATTTTCATCTTCATTTTAAACTATTCGCTTATCTTTTCCTTAATAATAGAGTTTTCTAGAAAAAGTTCTTTAAAGTTATAAAGTTATTTCAATCTGATTCATTCTCTTTAAGTATGTTTTCTTAAGTTTATTGCCTAAAATAATTTGTAAGCTTGGCTTCGCTTGGTAAAAAGCCAAAAAACTACTTACCAGTTACCACATGGAAAAGTATATGAAAATATTGAAATTTTGTAAAAAGACTTCGAAGTGACCTTAGATATTGATAATTGTTAATCTTTTAAAATGGAAGGTTTTGATACAAAATAAAAATTCAATATCATGCATCTGAATAATTCGCACTTACGAAATCAAATGACTAATTAACTTAGAACTTAAGCGACAAACAAATTGTTGTACTGAAAAGGTGCCATGAGAATGCTAACTCTTCGTCACATGTAACCGGCCATCCAAGTCTAACTAGGTTTTCATGCATATAAACAAATAACTTCATTTCAACCTAAATGATTTGGAAACTTTCTCTTAATACCTAGGACTACATTTCCATTCGACTTAGTTTTTGGCCATGTTTATTTTTTTATTTCTCCACTATTCTTCCTTTTATTTTAATCTGTTTTCCTAAACAAACCAATCTTAACAATTATAAATTGGTACTCTTGTATTATGCTTCAACCATATGCCAAATATTTTTACGCAGAATAAATAAAAAACCTTTGGCAATTATGACTAAGGAGCGCTTGAACTATGCTTAGGTTCATGTAATTTTGCTAATAGATTCCATCTAAAATTAAAAATTGATATATGAAAGCAATAAGAATGTTCAATAGAATGCTGTTTTGGAGTTGTTATACTGATATGATTCCATTTTAATTTGAGATATCGATTCTCAAGGGAACTTTCGTATGACATTATAATGTCTTGAACACTCTATCATATCATATCGATTGCTATATAATGACCAAACAAGAATATAACATTTCAAACCATTATCTCCTAAAATTAGATCTCTTAAGATAAGGATTGTATATGAAATTACCTTAATCATGCTTTCAAGAAATTAAATAGTCAACATTTATGTTCTAGATACCTTCATCAGTGTATTCACAGGCTGTCACCTCGCAACTTAAGGACCAAAACAAAATTTTGAGAAATTTCTATTTCCCCATCAATTTATTAAGCTTCATTTCTTTTTGCTTGCGGCATTGAGCGGAGAGCTAACTAGTTACTGTGAAAGTGGAGGATTATACAAGAACAGAGGAGCCAGTCGTCAGTTTGATTCAGCAATCCAACATGCACATGACTAAGAAAGGAGGGATTTTCATTTCACTGCCAGCACCAGCTCCTTTTTTATATATAAAAAAAAAAGGAATTTATAAAGCCAACACACCAACCCACCCAAAACAGAAAGCCTTTCGTTGCGGAACAACTCTTGGCCATACATCTAGTAAGTTCTCCAAGAACTTTACCGGAGGTGCACCATACAAAAGCATTTGCATGTTGAATTTGTGATTTTAAAGGTCTGTCAGGAGGAGGTCTCTTTTCAATCTTCACAATTTAATCTGAATTAACCAACTATGGAAAGATGCTGATTTGTCATTTTAAGGGTCTGTCAAGAGGAGGTCTCATTCATTTCAATCTTCACAATCTACTATGAAATGACCAACTATGGAAAGCTTATGACTGGATAATCTAGTGACCTGGTTATTAGAAGTTCAGAGCATAAATGTTCATGAATTAGGTAAAACTACGACAAAAGGAGATGCAAGACAATTTTTTTCAAGCAAAGAAAAAAGCAGCAATGCTTTGTCAAGAACGATCCAGAAGGGACCACAATAGAAAAAAATATAAGTTATGACAAATCACTGACTAAAAGAGAGATGAAATATAAAAGATTTTCAACGATGTCAGCAACATATTTCAACCTACTTAAGCAATTGATAATTGTCAGTGCTCACAAAATTAAGTAGTTCTGTGATATAAACATGAAATAATCGACGGAGTCTCACCGATCTTGCATTGCTTTGGATGCTCTAAGGTGGTCCCTACGTACGAGCAAGTGAACATGACGAGCGTATTTAGTCAGGTACAGTGCTTCCTCTGTAGCTGTATCTCCCCCTCCAACCACAGCGAGCACTTGCCCCTTAAAGAGTGGTGATGCACCATCACAGATAGCACAAGCACTGATTCCTCTACTCCAGAATTCGTCTTCACGGGGTATCCTAAGTCTTTTCGCTGTAGCTCCTGTAGCATATATAAGACTATGGCACTTAACCTGGAATACAACCACAATGCAAAAACTTTTTAGCCATTCATACATGCAATTTTTTAGCAGCAGCCAAGCCAACTACAAATCAGCAAGAACAAGATAATGGGACATTAACAAAGCTAGCTGGTTAAAACATAATTCTTTTCCCTTTCAGTAAAAGAGGACACATAGAACATCACAATAGAAGAACGAGGGTATTCATCACCAGATTATTTGATTATCAATAAATATCCTGCAACTTCTTGCTTTACAGTGGTAATAATATGCATGTGATTCTAATGCTCAAAATTCTTCTGTAATATATGCTAATGGTTCAGATTCGGTACACTAAATTCTGCTTGAATCTTATTCTTGCGTTATACAGAAAAGTTAGCCATGAAGGATACATTATTTCCCAAAAAGAGTTCTCTCAGATATTAGCAAAAGAACCTATTTCTAAGGCATAAAACTTAGCATGGTCAATCAGTTGCATTTCAAAAACATTCCTTTCAAGTCAGTATTTCCAATAAACAATTGTCAATAGATCACCTCACGTTCACCACTTCGCACAGTGAAAGGGCTATTCTTCACATCAAGAAATTCTACATCTTCTTGATGTAACTCTGCTCCCCAACGCTCAGCCTGCTGCCTCATCCTAATAACAGGACCATGCCATGCCAGATTCTCATCAGCACCATCACATAAATTGAAAGAAGAATACAACCGTTGTCGTATACATGACGACATACGAGAGACAAAGTTGCGTCCCGCATATATCTTTACCTGTCCATCAAATCTGGACCAGTGATTCCATCAGGGAAACCAGGAAAATTCTCCACTTCAGTGGTAGTCATCAACTGTCCTCCTGGTACACCACCTACTTGAAACCCCTCAAAAACTACCGGTTTCAAATTGGCACGGGCAGCATATATCGCTGCCGTGTATCCAGCAGGACCTGAACCAATGATCACCACATTCTCCACTCCTCTGGCTGCAAAACCAAGAGAGGGGTGGAAAATATCAATTAAGATTGTCACCTATCTCATTTCTTCTGTATTGACTATCCAGAATCGAAGATAAACAGGTTAAACTCTGCACACAGGATTTTTACGGTTATAAAGAGCTGAGCTCAGACAATGGTTAAGATGAAATTCCCACACCAAATGCTTACCCATTCAGGCAGTCTAAATCAGCCCGTACAATCAATACCGAACTTGGGCAGGAGAGAACAAATCCTACTTTTCAAATCCTTAGACAGCAGAAGCAATTAAATGTAACAGTCACAGACTCACAATGCATTAACCCAGCACACAACATCCGCACCACGTACTAGATATGATATGGATACAAAAGACGTACGCCTCAACTTGATGGAGCCTAACTCAACACGTGAAACGGACACGAAAACTTAAAAGGCGATCGCAGGCACGTTTTCACGCTGTCGGAGCTATCCAAAGTCAACACAGGTTGTTCCAATGTTCCAGGAGGAGGCAATGGGACGACCACGACCACATCGTACACATCGCTGACGCAACATTCTCACGAACCAAACCACCTACCATCACTAAGGCACGCAATTGGACACGAAAATCGAGAGCACCGACCTGAGAAACCGGACGAGGGCGAGTCGTCGGAAGAAGAAGCTCTGACCCGGAGAGGGAGGAGAGAGCGCGGGCGGGGCGAGTCGAGGCGGAGGGAGGAAGGGCGGCGAGCGGAGAACCAGCTGTTGGAGTAGAGGAGGGAGTGGCGGTGGGGGAGGGAGGCGGCGACGGACGGAGTCATGGCGGCGGCGGCCGCGGCGGAGGAGGAGGAGGCGGAGGCGGTGGTGGCGGTGGAGGTGACTCGGTGTGTCGGCACGGCCGCGATCCCGACGGTGGCTCCTATCCTCGCGGTTGCGCTCGCAGCCATTGGTTTCGGACCATACAAAAGAAAAAAAATGGTTCGAGGACGACCAGCGGTTGAAAGAGTGTTGAAGGCCACGTGTTGGTTGTGTCGCGCGCTCTGGCTTGGCCTCCTATCTACAACGGGGCGAATGGGCCAAAAAAAAAAAGAGGCTACTCGCTCATCTCCATTTTGGTAAATGGACATACTTTGTACTGGAGATAAGCAGTTCTAGAATTCGTACAAATTCTACCTGAAATCTACGTGTTAGAACAGGTTCTTCATTTTTTGAAATTTAGAATCTATCCCGTCACAAGTTCTAGATCGATTCTAAGGTCTACCCAAATTCCACATAATCGTCATATTTAATGATCACGGCTTACTACTACAATCTACTTACCACAACTTATATTTAGACACACGAAAAATATGAAATATTAACAAAGTAAAAGTCTCAGTCATAAAATCAAAGCTCGGACTGTTGATTTCAGATTATACATTCATTATCGGTCGCCAAGGAATACCCCAGGATTGCGTGAATGCGTAGACCAAGAAAAAAACACAAAAACTTGTTTTAGGTTCCAAATTCCACTTGCGTAGAATTGAAACCTACTCTTCAAAATAGGTTCTTCAATTTTGGAACCTAGAACCTACCTTGCATACAGTGACATCTGGAACAGGACAAATTTTCATTGGTTCGGCTCTCTAGTTTTAGGTTCTACCCTAAAACCATTCTCACCCAGGCCTATGCTCCCAAAATTTCTTAGATTCTCTCGTTGGGCATACATTTCAAATTATTGAAATTCTCAAAAACTCGTGCGTTTTTTTTTTTAATGTCGATACTCTCGCATTTAAGTAAGTACGTGTTTATCGTTAACCCAATAAAGATACAGGGATAAGTCCCTATCTATTTGAGTTATGTATTAAGCCTATTCAAATTACACCACAACACACAAATTAGTGAAGCAATTAGACGGGGATTACCTAATCACGCAGCTTGGTGAAGCTTTAATGGTCTATATTTAGTTTAGTACACGACTCGAATGTCGATTTCTCGATCGTAAGAGATTGGAGAATAAGGACCCGTTTGCCAAGTTGTCAAATAGTGAAAATTTATGTTCTTTTGTTCCCAGAATCAGTTTGGGAACAGAAATCCGTTTGTTAAATATTTTGTGCTCGAGCACAAATGTGCAAAAAATTGTTCCAAAAATCAGTTTTAGAATAGAATAAAAAAGCAAAAAAAAGTAACTTCTTGATTCTGAAACAATTTTTCCATTTATGATTCTTCTTGGTTTGTTATTCTTCTTCTTCTTCGCCTACCGCCGGCCACAGGCCAGGGCCGGCGAGGGCGTCGCAGCCCTCGCCGCTTGGGCGTTGCAGCCCTCGCCGCTTGGGCGAGGGTGGCTCGCCGCCGCGACTGCGAGGGCAGGGGCGGCTCGCGGCCGCGACAGCGAGGCCTCGCCTAGCCATGGTGAGACTTGACCTCGCCCAGATCTGGCGAGGCCGACCTCGCTGTCGCGACCTAGGCGAGGGCCTAGGTGGCTGCAGCAAGGGCCGCGACGCCCTCACCGGCCCTGGCCTGTGGCCGGTCGCCGACACCGGCAACCGGCCATGGCCAAGGAAGGGAAGGGAAAGAAAGAAAAAAACGAAAAAAAAAAGAAAAAAATATTAAAATATTTAAAATATTATTAATAAAAAGAAATTTGGTATAGTTACCAAACGCATTTCTGTTCTTTTTCTATTCTAAGAATAGAAATTATGGGCAGTTATCAAACGCATTCAAAAGCTTAGAAATTGTTTCCGGGTACGAAATTAAAAAAGAATTATTTCTGAGCAAAATCAGTTTTCGGGCACAAAATCGTTGTCATGCGCATTCTAATTCTAAACGGAAGAAAGGGAGAAACAGAAGCACTTTTATACTGAGAGCCCATGCACTACATTTCCTTCTACCTTCGCAACCTGCTGCTAGTATCATTACATCATTCAAATCAAAACCATGGGCCTTTTCGACCAAAAAAAATCGATCAAACCATGGGCCTCAAGTTGGTTGCCCTCTTGGCCAAATTATTGCATCAGTTTCCCAAAACTGGAAACGGTGCGTGCTTCGATCTACCAAATCTGTAAATTTTGTGGGCACGGAAGCTTAGATTAAAAGGAGCAAAATTAGGTTTGGCTTCTTGATTAATCACGCCACGGCAGCAAAATACGAAGATTTTGAACATAAAGGAAAATACTAGAGTTATTGAGACCGGTTCACAAAACTAATTCGCTAAACGATGTGTCGGGTCATTAGTGGCTCTTGAACGCGAATCTGCTTGTTTAGAGGGCCCGTTCATAGCCCGACGTGTAGCTTGACGAATCAACTTCGTGAAACGATTTTAGTATGTTCAGCATTATAACTACACAAAAAGGGCAAACATCAGCAACTTCCACTCATGTTTTCATTCTTAAGCAGAACAACAAGATCGTTGCAGGTCGACGGCTTGTGGCTATACTTGCTAGAAAGAACACATCTAATAATTTTCAGCAATATTTCGCCAAAAAATAAAAAAAATCGTCCCTTTGGTTAGTCAATCCTAGTTTGCTTCCAATATAATCGATTATTTTATAGCTAATTTATCCAAAATATGAACTTCATATTCAAGGGGTGCTCACAGTATCCTTTTAGGGGTGACGGATTCTCGGTCCGGTCCGGTCCCACCTAGGAATTAGGGACCGGACCAATCGGTCCCAATCGAGTTTGATGGAATCAGTGACTCTAATGTTCTCCTTCCAAACAAAAGCACAATACAAAGCAAAAGAAATCTAGATTGGAGAAGCTTTGCCATGCAAAAAGCAAATACCAACAATTGCAAAGCTTAACACCGTGGACAATACGGTGAGATGAGAAAGAGGAGTTTGTAAAATAGAGATTACTCATATTAGGATTTACTTTAGACTATTCTTTAAGAAATAAAAAAAATTTAAAAATGTAGCCCGTCCGGTCCATTGGTTCAGTTCTCATCCTGGAATCAGGAACCGGACCAATGGCCTCTAGAATCAATCGATCAAAAATATTGCGGTTCCTGTTTTGGACGGTCCCGATACACACCCCTAGCATTTTTAAAAAAAAAAAAATTAAATTTTGGTCATGATTGGCGGGGCCTTCCCCACGCAATACCTTGATCAGCCAATGGGAGCAGAATCTGCGGATGGATTGTTCCTTTGACGACGTCGTATAGTGACAAAACCGGCAATTTCGAACCAAAAGATGAACAATCGATAATCGATGATAGAGAGAGTATGAAACCAAGAAAGAGTTTTCTGAAAAACTCTAGTCAAGAAAGCTCAGCTGCCCACCAAAAATTCACTACCTTCCAAAACTTCCCCCAAATTATTATTATTTTTACATCAATAAATCGTTATTAATTGATTAATTAATTGATTGATCGATTGATTTTTGTTCCTTCCATCATTCGCTTTCGGCTCCTCATTCTCCCGACCGGGTCAAAACGAATTTGCACACATGATTACCTTTTCAAATGATGTGCTTCATAGTGTTCTTATCCCACAAGTGGTGGACTATAAATATATATATGTGTGTATATATCTAAATTTGTCTAAAAAGTTATAAATCTATTGTATGACAGTAAATTCAGTCTTGAACTTTTTAATTGTGTCAATTTAATTCTAAACATTTTAACGAATTACCAATGTAATCTTTTCGGCTAATTTTGACCGGAAATCGCTGACGTAACGATCTTACGTGGCGCGACTAGCACTATAGTACAGAATTTTTTAATTTTTATTGAAATTTTCCTAATTTTTTATTACTTTATTACTTTATTTTTTCTGTCCTTTCTTCTTTTTTTCTTCATAGGGTCGGGCGAGGTCACTAGATCTAGGCAAGGGTTGTGAGCCCTCATTGTAGCTGGCGAGGGCATCGAGAGCCCTCACCCAAGCCCTTACTGGCCACTGATAAGGCGTCATGGCCCTCACTCACACAGCGAGTCAGCAAGGGTGTCGCTAGCCCTTGCCTAGGCCCTCGTGGGCCACAACGAAGGCATCGCGGCCCTCACTTGCTCTTGTTGAGGCCAATAAAGGTCGTGACCCTCGCCTGCGGGCTAGCGAGGTCTTCGTGACCCTCACCCTAGGGCCAACGACCCTCACTGGCCCTTGCCTAGTGCCCAGCAGCCCTTTGCCTAGTGGCCGCCGACCCTATGAAAAATAAAAGATAAGAGAACATATGTAAAATCAATAAAAAATTATTCAAGTTAGCACCAATCACGCCAAGGTCACACCACTTAGGACCGTCGGCGCTGACTGATCGCCACCTCAGTGATTTTCGGCCCAAATTGGCTATAAGGTTTACATTGGTAATTCGTTAAAAGGTTTACGATTAAATTGACAAATTCTCAAAATGTTTGGGACTAAATTGGCACAATTAAAGGTTTAGGACGAAATTGGTACAGTTAAAAAGTTTATGACTGAATTGACCACGTACAATAGGTTTATGATCCATATATAAGGAAAATGACACAAATGGTCATTGAATTTTGGTCCAATGTGCAATGTTGTCCCTGAACTTTTAATTTGTTCAATGTGATACCTGAACTTTGATCCAATATTCAATACAGTTGCTGAAATTTTAAACGTTTTCATAGTATAGAGACTATATCAAACATTTACCAATAATTCAAGGATCACATTAAACATATTATAATTCAAGGGACGACATCGCATAATGGGCCAAAAGTTTAAGGACCATATTGCAAAAATTAAAAGTTCAGGAACCACATTACACAATAAATCAAAGTTCATGGACTATTGGTGCTATTATCCCATATATGTTTTTTGGGACTTCGCAGTCTTGAACCACAGCTGATTTTCGTCAATCATGATTATTTTATTTTTAAACAATCTCTAGTTTCGTTCATTCAACTAAACCATATTCCAAATTTACTTTGTATACTATGTAATAGGATCTGGAAGAAAGAAATGATCGACATGGGTGTTTGACCCCTTTTTTCTAGGTTTACTTTCCTAGAACTTAAAGAGGGTGCCTGTTCTTGCTTAAACTGGACCGAAAGGCCTTTGTTGACTTGACCTTAGGGAAATCAATTCATTTTTTCCAAACGAAAATGATACAAGATGACTTCAAACGTTTATTTCGTATTTTTAATGGTTCGCGGTGTTTAATTCTAAACCAAAGTCCACTATTCAAACTTGGAAATTTCAAGCGACAGTTATATCGAAGCATTCTAAGCCGAAAAAGTCAATTTATCAACCGAAATGACATTGCTAGAGCTAGAGGTAGTCATAAAGAAGAATTAACATATATTTGTTACTCAATTGCGGTTTATCTTCGGGATAATTACCAAAAAAGTCTCAAACATATTATACTATTATCAATTCAATCCTAAATCGTTCAATTTGGCCAATTGAGTCATAAACATTTTCACAATTTGCCAATATAGTCCTTCCGATCAATTTTGGCCAGAAAATAGTGACATGGACGCCGGCCATTCTACCGTGCCCACGTCGCACGGCTAACGCTGATGTAGACAATTTTTGCAATTCTTTTAATTTTTTCTGATTTTTTAAGTATTTTATATTTTCTTATAAAAAATTGCAAAAATTATCTACGTCAATGCCGGTCGTACCCATACGACGGCATGGCCGGCATACACATCGCAGATTTCTGGCCAAATTTGGCCGAAAGGACTACATTGGCAAACTGTCAAAAGGTTTAGGACTAAATTGGCCAAATTGAAAGATTTAGTACGGTAGATTTAGAACTTTTTTTTGGTAATTTTCCCGTTTATCTTCGCATGGCAAGCTTGCTATGTGTGGATTCTTCATCTTGAAGCATGACCTCAACTTCCAAGTTCCACCATATGATTTTTGGTCCACTGTGCCAAATTCCAACGCAAGCCCAGCTTTTTCTCCGCAAATGTCCCCTTGACTTTGAGTGTTAAAATTTCCACGTAACGCGTTTCTACAACGAGGGTGAGGAGGAGGTAATGCATACTGGAGAAATTCAGATATGAAACATCGTAGAAAGTCAATAAAGCGACCCCTCTCTCTCTTTGAAGAAGAAGAAGAAGAAGAAGGAGAAGGAGATGGAGAAGAAGGAGACGTCCAAGGCGTGAGATCACGGAGGTTGAAATTCATGATCAACAGTCGGAAGCTCTTTAGATAGAAGAACTCTCACGTTAGTTATTAAAATTTGAATTTGATCAATTCGAAGAAAGAAAAGGAACGAAGAAAGTACAGCACAACAGAAGAAGTTAAACAAGTAATTAATTTATATGGAGAAAAACTAAGGGCCACATCAAGAGCTTTTCAAGCCTCGACCCACGGGAAGGTGTGAAGTGCATAGATAAAATATCTGTATTTATACATAAGTTTCTTGCAAGCTTTTATCAGCACACAATCTCATAGAAACTTCCCGGATCAGATCGAAGAAATTGATCTTGTTCTTGTCTTTGTCTCGCTTATATCAGTGGTCGAATTGGCCTTTGTCAAGATCTCACTATTCCGACTACAAGTCCTGCAAATCTGAACCATGGGTCCTCTAGGGTTTGTGTCCTATTTCGGGTCATATGACTATATCGATAAATCACACGAGATTACAAAGACACAGGGGCCGACGAGAATCACCTAAACTAGATAGACGTTCTGGGTACATAATGTGCCGCCGAGGATTACATGGCATAACAACTTAAGTATGTTGCAATTCCAAGCACGAGATAACTTTTGTTGATATCATGTGACGAATGATGTTCCATCTACATTTGATGAGTAAGAGGTTTCTATAAATAGCTAATCGAATAACTCGGGATTTTATGCAGCATATGCATAGAAACTCCTCTCAAATTGACATTACGGAAGATATATATCCACACTAACTAGTACACACATGCATATTTATAGAGAAAGTTGTAATTACCGGATATCGCTGACATGAAAAGCTACAGTGGTGAATTGTCAAAAGATTTAGAACTAAATTTACTGCTATATGATAGATTTAGGAATTTTTGGACTATTTTGTCCCCATATTTTTGTATACATTTCAAGATATAAATAAGTTGCAAAACCGCGTTTATGAATGGCATGCCCTTTTGTCCAGCAAAAATTTCTTTGGGCCGTGCACGACCGGTCAAACAACGTACGCCATCCAAATGAGGAATTTAAGCCAAAAGGGAGTTGGTGTGGCAATAAAATTAAATGGGTGGTGGTTCTATTTGGACTAGCACTAGCTCCACCCATGCTTTGTCTAGGGTTACGTGCGGAACGTCAAATTATTTTATTTGACTCTCCAAAGAAGTCTACACCCTTTGCACCGTATTTTCCTGCGCACACACTAGACATAAACAAAGAAGTAAAATAAAGAAAATTTTTGCAAAGTTAGGAGCTTTCCATGATCTTTCTCGACCATATATAAGAAGAGAGACGCGCCTTCCACGTACGTTTTCAACCATTTTTCTTCTATTTTGTGTGAGAGAGAGAGAGAGAGAGAGAAGGAAAACGAGAGAACAAAAGCGACTCTTGCAAATCTCATGAACTGTGGATTCGTGTTGGGTTTCTATTGCTGGGGTTGGGAGTTCTTAACTGCCCTTCTTCTCTTCTCCTCTAATCATCTCCCTCGTCCTTATTAATCAGAGCTTCTTCTTCTCTCTTCAACTTCTCTCTCTTTGTTGGTCAATCTGTAGAGAGGGATACATCCAGAGGTAATATTGTATCGTTATCGTCATGGAGGCGAGCGGTGATTATATTTCCGAGAAGAAGGGCCTGCTGTTGGAGTACGTGAGGAAGTCGACGCCGCCGCCGTTCCTGCTGAAGACGTACATGCTCGTGGAAGACCCGGCGACGGACGATGTGATATCGTGGAACGCCGACGGCACCGCCTTTGTCGTGTGGCAGCCGGCGGAGTTTGCGAGGGATCTCCTCCCGACGCTCTTCAAGCACAGCAACTTCTCTAGCTTCGTGAGGCAGCTCAACACTTATGTACGTAACAATCAGGCTTGCTTGCTTGCTTCCCTCTTTTCAATCTTCCTACATAGATCGTCCGTTAGAGTTCAAAACGGTCAACGATTTTTCGCGTCATGTGAATAGTTAAACTATGTTTAGACTTAATTTTTCAGCATCATGTATCATATGAATTGGAAAAAGGAAGAAAAGAAAGTCCCATGCAAATACTAAAAGTTCATTAACTCCAAAAAAGAACAAAGAAGAAAAAAATGCTCGAAGTTAATGGGGCGGTGAAATTTTTCACGTAGGATGTGGGGGGAGAAACTAAGGAGAGAAAATAGCTTGTACATAAGTATTGTATAACGTATAACGCCGGGCGACTAATTTAAAAAAGAAGAAAGGTAGCTCCACCAAAAAAGTTGAAAATGACAATAAGATAAAGATGAGCAGAAAAGAAGAGTCGTTAGTCTCCGTTCTACACCGCATGTTAGCTAGGCTAGTTTGACTGGATATCTATGTTAAATCTGATATACATATCAATGAAGTTCAACTTTGATTATCTTGCCAGAGGTTTCATATATAAAAATATATATTTACGCATATATAAATGTGTATATTTACCCATTTTGGTAACCTGAGGTAATCCGAATGCAGACTATTCAAAGCTCAGCACAAAGTATTGGAATATCCTCTGGACAGTATAAGCCAGTCAAAGTCGTAACATGATCTATACGCTTGATGATCAATTGAACCAATAGTGGAAGATTACACATGCACATAGATTTTCTCCAGTCACAGATATCTGGCAGTCAAGATTGACTTCTAAGCACTCGGTCCCATTATTCTCGCCTGTGTCTTGCCCGTGTAGTGAAAAACCTGCACCTATGATCATGGATTATGCAGAATTACACGTCAACCGAAGTTTGCACTTTGATTCGATTTCATTAATGAGAAGTTGGGTGTTAATATTTACCTCGATATGGTTTATCGTATTTGGTTCGTTGATGATATATAATTATATCGATTTTCGTTTGTCGGTTTCATTAGTTTTTGTCATGTCATTAGAATAGTGAGAATTGATCTGTGTATTCCTTCAGCAACAAAGGCAATCTAATATAATTATTTTGAATCATTTTCACAACAAATAGGGCTTTCGGAAAGTAGCGACGAGCCGATGGGAGTTCTGCAACGACATGTTCCGAAAGGGGGAGAGAGAGCTGCTCTGCGAAATCCGCCGCAGAAAGGCGTGGGCCAACAAGCAGCAGAACGGGAACTCAAACCCTTCGGCGCAAGCTCATCAGGACAACAATAACAACAATCACTCCTCCGACGAGGACCAAAGGTCGTCGTCGACCTCATCGTCGTCCGAGTACAGCAACCTCGTCCACGAGAACAAGCGCCTCAAGAAGGAGAACGGGGCCTTGAGCTCCGAGCTCACCAGCATGAAGCACAAGTGCAAGGAGCTTCTCGAGCTCGTCGCAAAGTACGCGCGACACGAGGGCGAGGGCGCCAAGGAAGAGGAGGAAGAGAAGGAAAACAACAATAGCAGTGAAGGGTTGAAGTTGTTTGGGGTGAGATTGGAGGTTAAGGGAGATCAGAGAGGGGAGAGGAAGAGGAAAGGTGCAGGCATTAGAGAGAGCGCAAGCATTTTGCTCTCTCAGTCATGCAAGTGATGATGATAGTTCAAAAGGATATATATCGGATTACAGAATAGTGAGAAATAATCATTCAGGGAAAAAAAAAAAAAGAGGCCACTATGATTTTAAGGAAGAAAGAAATAGTGGCCATAAGTTTTCTTATATAGATGATACAATTCACTGTATGAATGTATATATTGAAATGCGAATGTGAAAGTAGTTCGTGAATCAAGCTAGATGTGTAACTTTCTGCGGCATCAAGTTGAATATTAGCATAATTCTATTGTTCTGTGCTAAAAAATGAGACTTTTTTTTTTCTGTGGTGGTAAATTTTAAAAAGTATGGGTAAGATTTACAAAGTTGTTGGTGAAAAAAAAAAGGGAAAAAACCACCAAAAACCCCAAACTTTCCCACTTGTGACACATTTACCCGAACTTTTTTATGACACCAAAAACCCCAAACTTTGTTATTTGTGACACATTTACCCCGATATACATTGTCCATGGGTATTTTCGTCTTTTTAGCTTTTTCTTTTTCTTTTTACTTTTTTTTTCTTTCCGGCGAGGGCCCGCCGCGTCGGGCAAGGGCCGCCCGGCGATCCGCGAGGGCCGCCCTCGCTCGGGCGAGCGAGGCGAGCCTCGCCGGCGTCGGGCGAGCCTCGCCCTCGCTCGCCCAGTGAGAGGCGAGGCTCGCCGCGTCGGGCGAGCCTCGCCTCGCCCGGGCGAGCAAGGGCGAGCCTCGCCGGCGCGGGCGAGCCTCGCCCCGGCTTTGGGCGAGGGAGGGCGAGGCTCGCCCTCGCTCGCCTGGGCGAGGCGAGCCTCGCCTACGCCGCGAGGGTGGCCCTCGCCGGATCCGGCCGAGGCGAGCCTCGCCTCGCTCGGGCGAGCGAGGCGAGCCTCGCCGGCGTGCCGGGCGAGCCTCGCCCCTGGCCCGGGCGAGGGAGGGCGAGGCTCGCCCGACGCCGGCGAGGCTCGCCCTCGCGGGCAGCGAGGGCGAGCCTCGCCCGACGCTGGGCGAGGCTCGCCCTCGCTCGCCCGAGCGAGGCGAACCTCGCCGGCGTCGGCGGGGCTCGCCCTCGCTCGGGCGAGCGAGGGCGACCTCGCCTAACGCCGGCGAGGGCGGCCCTCGCACGACGCCGGCGAGGGCCCCCTCGCCGGATCCGGCGAGGGCCCTCGCCGGAAAGAAAAAAAAAGTAAATAGAAAAGAAAAAGCTAAAAAGACGAAAATGCCCATGGATAATGTATATCGGGGTAAATGTGTCACAAATAACAAAGTTTGGGGTTTTGGTGTCACAAAAAAAAGTTCGGGTAAAATGTGTCAAAGTGGAAAGTTTGGAGTTTTTGGTGGTTTTTCCAAAAAAAAATTAGACGTTGCTTTTTTCTTTTTTTTTCAGGTGACTTATTGGTAACCTGTCAATATTTTTCATGAAATTTTTAATTAGTCTTTTGATTTGCAAATGAGCAATTAGTGCGAAATGAATCGAAGAAATTTAGGACGTGACGATGCTCAGCAATTTGTAGCTGTGAGACCCTCGGTTTTGATTGGACCTCTTTTAGCAGTTAGCGGGAAAAAGGTACCAAAAAAGCTATAGATCCATTGTATTAATAAAAATCCAATCCTAAACTTTTCAATTGGAACAATTTAGTCTCAAACCTTTTAACATTGATACTAATTCAGTCCATCTGATCAATTTAAATCGAAAATTGTTGACATAGACATCGGTCATCCTATGTGGCACAGTCGACGCTGAAGTTGATCTTTTTTAAAAAATTTAAATACTTTTTTCTAATTATTTATTAATTTGTTCTTTTCTTTTCTTTTCTTTTCTTTTCTTTCTTTTTTATCTTGGGAAAAAACCACAAAAAACCCCAAACTTTTTCATCTGTGACACATTTACCCCGAACTTTTTTTTGTGACACCAAAAACCCCGAACTTTGCTTTTTGTGACACATTTACCCCAATGTATTTAGTCCATGTGCATTTTTGTCTTTTTTTCTTTTTCTTTTTTTTTTCTTTTTTTTTCCTTTCCGGCGAGGGGGGTGCCTCGCCGGCGTCGGGCGAGGGCTGCCCTCGCCGGATCCAGCAAGAAGGGTCCTCGCCGCGGCGTCGAGCGAGGCGGTCCTCGCGCATCCGGCGAGGCGGCCCTCGCCAGCCGTCGGCGAGGCGCTCTCGCGGGCGAGCGAGGGCGGCCTCGCCCGACGCCGGCGAGGGTCAATCTCGCCGACCAATACGAGCGAGGTCCGCTCGCCGGCATCGGGCGAGGCGCCCTCGCTCGCCTGTGCGAGGGCGACCCTTGCCGGCGCACGGCGAGGGCCGCCTCGCTCGGCCGGCGAGGGTCGCCTCGCCCGATCCGGGAGAGGGCTCGCCCGACGCGGCGAGGGACGACCTCGCCGGATCGGGCGAGGGCCGCCCTCGCTCGCCAGAGCGGCGAACCTCGCCGACGCCGGCGAGGGCCGCCTCGCTCGCCCGTGCGAGGGCGGACCTCGCTCGACGCCGGCGAGGGTCGCCCTCGCCCGGGCTAGCGAGGGCGGCCCTCGCGGACTCGGGGAGGTCGACCTCGCTCGCGCCGAGGAGTCGACCTCGCGAGTCGGGCGAGGCCGCCTCGCTCGCCGGCGAGGGCGAACCTCGCCCGATGCCGCGAGGGCCGCCCTCGCCGAATCCAGCGAGGGCCGGCCTCACTCGCGCCGGCGAGGGGCCCTCGCGGATCGGCGAGGCCCCCTCACGGAGGAAGGAAAAAAAGAAAAAGCAAAAAAGACGAAAATGCCCATGGACTAAATACATTGGGGTAAATGTGTCACAAAAAGCAAAGTTCGAGTTTTCTTTCCCTTTTATCTTTTTTCCTTATTACCCTTGCCAGTAGCTAGCTAGCGGAGGTCACCGGTCGCTAGCGAGGCCCCTCCCTTAGCCCTCGCCGAGGTCCATCACTTCACCTCTCCACAATCCACTACCTACCACCACCACCACCATCGAATCGGAGATGAATCTATACGCAAACGACTTCTCTCCGTTCGGCTTCGGCTTGTCCAATCTAGCATTCGACTCTCTCTCTCTCTCTCTCTCTCTCTCTCAACGCTTTGATTCCACTCCGATCTCTCCCACACCGTCGATGTCATCTAGGTCCGTTGGGCCCTGCCCTCGCCCAGGAGAGGTGCGGCGAGGACACCTTGGCTTGGGAGAGGGTTGGCCTCGCCAGGTCTAGCGAGGGGGTCCTCGCCGACGCTCGCCCTCACCCAAGCATTGCCTCAGTGAGGCCGACCTCGCCTGTGGCTGGTGAGGGCGACCCTCGCCGACCACCCTCAAAAAGAAAAAGGAAAGTGAAAAAATTTATTTAAAAATATGTAAAAATGTCCACATCGGCATCGGCCGTGCCATGTAAAACGGTCGGCATCCTAGTCATCAATTTGCGGCCTAAATAGAAAATTTCGGATAAATTACCCAATCAATCTCAAACCTTCCAATTTTTCTAATCCAGTCTTGAGCCTTTGTAAGATATTCTAATGTACTCTTACGGTCAATCTTTGCTTAAGATTAGTCATGCAGCGGTTCTAGTCATCACCAGCCATCCTATCGACGACTTTTGACGAGAATTGATCGGATTAATTACATTGAAATTTCGCTCAAGATTTGTGACTAAATAGACAAAATTTAAAGAGTTTAGGACTGAGTCGGCATTTACAGTAGGTCTAGGACTGATCTGACGATTATCTCGAAAATTCTTGCGAAATTTCAAATGGTCGGCGATGCTTCCCTTGATTTTTCTTTTGCGGGGAACGGCGTGGTCGGTGATGAGGGTCTATATGTCCCTTAAAAGATTAACAAATCTCAGACCTAATCGGATATTAAACATAACATGCACCCTGTCACGTGAAAAACGAAATCGATGTACTTTTTTAAATACTATATAAAACTCCAGAGTCAATCATAACCTCCAAATATAGAGCAAGAAAGTCATAGGACACACGCGCCACGAAATTCATGATTATATCATTAGTCTTTGGAGTTCCTGAAAAACAATTATGCAGACGTAAAATATTTTCGAAAACAAGGGAAAAAAACAGAGGATGGTGAAGATAAGAGCGGCTATCTTATTTGACATATGAAGATTCATGATGGGAACGTGATGACGATTTAACAAAATTGAGAATTTTTGACCCGGCAAAATGATTTTTTTTACCCCAAAAAAATGAAGAAAAATTAATGATGAGGAAGATTTGACGGCACAGGAAGAGGTGCATGACATTGCGTAAACCGTTGATCGTTGATTAAATTGAATCCCATGCAATAAATATTCGGTGGGAGCCAAACATTTTCAATAGGGCATTTTAAAATCTACTTGACCAATCCAAATTTCGATTACGGATGTCAATTCAATTCTAAACTAATTTGATCAATTTAATCTTAAGCCTTTTGAAGATTTGCCAATGTAATCCTTTCGGTGAATCTTAAGTGGTAATCACTAATGTGGACACCAGCTGTCTTACGTGGCACGGCCGTATTGACATAGACAATTCTTGGAATTTTTCTTAAAATTATTTGATTTTTTTAAATAATTTTTTCTTTTCTTTTCTATTTTTTTTTCTCCAGTCACGAGCACTTCTCCAACAGCAGAGAATGAATCAACGGGTCATTTGCTTTATTGACTTAGACCTGTCGATAGATTGTGGTGTTTGGGTTACTGTTAGATGTAGCTGTTCCAACGTTGATCCGTTCCAACGAGGGAAATGTCCAGTGGCAGACAAGGGCTGTTTCCCTCTTTCTTGCCTCAACTCGTGAAGTTTGGATACTAGTCATGTAATCATTGCCCTGGTTTTGTTTAATAGGAAAATTATCAAAAAAGTCGTAAATCTATTATAATGGTGTCAATCCAATCTTAAATATTTTTTTGTAATTCAGTCATAAACTTTTTGCATTTATTCCAATTCAGTCCATTCAGCCAATTTTGGCCGACCAACACTGACATGAACGCCAGCCGACGCTGAAGCGGATAATTTTTAATAATATTTTTTTTAATTCAATATTTAATTTATTTTTTAATTTTGTTCTTTTCTTCCTTTTCTTTTTTTTCCCCCATAATGGCTGACGAGGGCTTCGTGGCTATCGCCGGCCGCGAGCAAAGGCGGCCATTGCCACCAACTTCGCCCGCGACCGGCGAGGCTAGCCTCAAACCCAGATCGCGAGGCGCGGCCGCCTTTGAAGGCGACTTGGCGAGGCTGGCCTCGCCCATAGCCGCGCCTCGCAATCTGGGCGCGAGGCGTGGGGGCCAACGAGCCTTGCCGGCCACCA